GGAGATCTCTGTGGGCGGACGGAAACGGTGAGAGTTTCATTTCCCCGTGCTATGGGGGCGAGAGGAGCAGGGAAGGGGCGTCTGAGGAAGTTCAGTCCATCACAGGACAAAAAACAAGATGAGCACCACCAGCAAGATGACAAAGAGGACAATAATTGCACACCACTGCCGTCGATCTGGAAGAAAAAGGAAGTGTCAGTCTTTCTAACAACAGGGAAGGAAAACTGGGGGAGAGCTTTTCTTGGCTGTACTGCTACGAGCCCAATTTAAGCTTAAAGAAGCCATAAATAGGCAAAGCCTCAGCTCCTTTGGCAGCACGCTCCACTGCAGCTCATGGGGGGATAGTGTTTCTCCTCCAGGACCCATCCATTTTTTGGGGGCCAGCTGTGGGAATTTTGAGGCTTCTCCTCAAGCAAGTTCAGAAAGGTTCAATAAACCAGTTCAAAAGCAGTCTAGAGGAACAAGCAGAGAGCTGCTGTGTGTTGCTGCTCATTCATGGAGTAACCCATTTGCCAAAGGAACAAGAACGGGTCCAGTGAAAACTGCCCAAAGGAGCTCTACAGGGAAAAGCTCGTGGCAGCTCCCCTTAGGAAAGCGCCAGCAATGAGGTTTCCCCTGGATGCCTTTACACCTCCCTGGCCCCACGGATGCTCTGCAGAAGCTCAGCACTGCATCACCTCTGAAAGCTGTCTGTTCCTGGCCACGTCTGCCACAGCAGGAACAAGAACGGGTCCAGTGAAAACTGCCCAAAGGAGCTCTACAGGGAAAAGCTCGTGGCAGCTCCCCTTAGGAAAGCGCCAGCAATGAGGTTTCCCCTGGATGCCTTTACACCTCCCTGGCCCCACGGATGCTCTGCAGAAGCTCAGCACTGCATCACCTCTGAAAGCTGTCTGTTCCTGGCCACGTCTGCCACAGCAGAGGGAACACCCCCCGGGCCCCAGCCACAGGGCTGCTGGCACCCCCCAACCTTTGGGCACAGCAGCCTAGCCCGGGAAGGGCCCCTCCTGGTCAACCTCAGCGTGGGTGATGCCAGGGATGGCAGAAATGCTCTTCTCACAGCTCGCAAGGTGAGCTGGCGGCAGGGGACTTCCCAGCAGGCACACCAGGCTTCCTGTTTGCTCTGCCTGTGGCACCCTGCCAGCCCACCGCCTTCAGGCACAGCCTTATAAGGACTTATCTTGTGGGCTCAGCACAGAAATCGCCTCTTTCCTCTGCCAGCTGAGAGAGATATCTGGCCAACACCAGGCCTGCAGGTGCCAGCAGCCCAAGGGAAAGTGGGATTTGGAAAGGGGCTTGCTGCAGGTGATTGTTTGGCATGGGGGAAACTGCAGCAGAGTTTCCCCTCCTACCACCTAGAGGGGAATTTTCCCCCAGTGGCTGCAGCAGCAGAAATAGAAAGGCATCTGTAAATAAAACAAAGGCAGAGGCCAGGCTGCAGAGCTGTGTCTGGCCAAGAGCAGCTGCAGGGCTTGCAAGGCTTCCCCCTCTCTCAAGCACCGAGAGCTGCTGCTTTCCTTCTGCTCGGCGCTGGGTGGGAGCACGCAGCATCCCAGCCCTTAAGCCCAAGGGCTTGTCACTCCCTTTCCAGGGACGGATCCCACTTGTCAGGACCTACCGCTCGTCATGTGAGACACCTTGGCGAGCTTCTTCATGACGTTATCAAGCCGCGACTGAGTGCTGTCCAACTCGTGGGAGAAGTCATCCAGCATCCTGAGGACAAAGCACAGCACTCGTCAGCAACCAGCGCGTCCCTGCAGGATTTCCCAGCGCGCTCACACACGCTGATCAAAACACCGATGTGATCGGTGTGTTACACCTTGGCGGAGAGGCACAACACAGCCTGGTCTCCTGAAAATATCCAAAGGGGCCTTTCAAAGCACCACTGCTTTGGTGGGAAGTCATCTGGGACTCCTGTCAGATTGGTCTGCCTTGCATGTTGGCGTCTGAGCTCTATGTACCCCTGCAAGGTGAGGAGCGGGGGTTTTCTTCCTTTTAAGATAAAAGTCTCATTTATAATCTGTGATTAGCAGAGACTGGTTAGATAGATCAAGGTGCCAACTCGGACTTTAGATCTCTTTTCTTGTTCAGGGCTTGCAGTTGAAGCTAAAATCTTGTTCCAGTCATGTTTCAAGCGGGAATGAGATTTTGAATTGCTTTTAAGGTGCTTTTTAAGCTCTGCGTGGAAGTGACCCTTCTCCTTTCTCCACATAGTGAGTGTATTGGATCTGAAAGTCTTCCTGAAGCCGTGCTTTGTCAGTGCCAAGAACCCATTTGAAGAGAAACAAGCACATCTAGAATCAAGGTAACAATACAAGTGTCTCCTGCCAGTGGGACTTTAAGCTTAACACATTTGAAAGGACAGCTTCCTTCATTTGGAGTTCTAGGGCACTTGTTAAATCTTCAGTCAGCGGGAAAGGAGTTGTAAAAAACTCACTGCAGTAGTTATCTGCTTCTGTCTAGCACGCACTGATGGTTTACGTGATGCTCTAGAAACAGACACACCACACTTATCTGCTTCCGTGAGAGCAGAAGACTCTCAGCTGCAAAACTTCGTACAGGAGGGAGGTTTAAAGCTCCTCCTCTCCATCCAAGACGACACCACTTCATAAGGGACATAGCCCTCCAGCCTCTCATCAGCCACAGAGGGGTTTCAGGCACAAATTCTCCAAGCCTCTCTGGAAATGGTAGCTGTTGGTCTGTATAACTGGAAACTTTATGCACTTGTTTGCAAAGGACATACAATGGGAAAGAAACCTAATTTATATGTAAATGGTGGATGCAAATTGCTTTGTGAGCTACCCTTTAACCCCTTCCGTGGGTGAGGGTTATTTTTAACTTTAACTATGAATAGCAGCTCTGTGCTGCATGTTTCAGAGCAGCAGGGCAGAGCTGAGAGCTCCCGGGATAAGCAGTTAACCAGGGGCAACACAAAGAGTCGGGAGGCACCCAATATTCCCATTACACAGCACCTCCTTCCCTCATCTGCTCAGTACTGCTGTCTGCCTGTAGTCAGGAGCTCTGTGCCTTAGGGGGAGCGTCTAAAAAGGAGACAGAAGGCAAAGTAAACTAGGAGCTAAGCCTGCCCCAGGTGCAGGCTTTCAAACAAACTAAAGTGCAGTTGGATCCTTGCAGGCTGCGGTAAGAAATGCTTTCCACTGCCTAAAATCAAGCCCTGGCTACAAGAAGCTGCCTGAGGGACTGGTAAATTCAAGGCCCTAACAGGGGCAGAAGTATGTATGCGAAGACCCCAGCTGTGTTGCCACCAGCCACATACCCCACCAGGTTTTCAGTGCCGCATCTCACACTTACACTGCCTGCTCCTCCAGCTCCCCACCAATGCGCTGGGACATGTTCTTCAGCACCCCGATGCTGCCAGAGACCAGCTCCAACTGCTCATCTTGCTGCTCCACAATCAGCTGGGGCCAAAGAGAACGGAAACAGGCAATTACAGGTCTGCTGCCTCCTGCAGCTAGGTGGAAGCCAGCCCATCAGGTGGATGGACACACTGCTCGGTTCATGTCAGCTGCAGGGTTCAGGCACAGGCCTAAGCCACTGGGAACGAGGACCGCATTCCTAGGAAATGCTGGAGAAGCGACAGCCGCAGGAAAGCCTCCCTGGCATGGCATCCCTGCGGCACAGCCAGCTGCAGTCTCCTGACTTCCCTGCAAATCCAGCCTCAGCTCAGCCAGGCCCCTACCCTTCCCTGCTGCACCCACCGCTAAGGCAACTCTTGAAAGCCAGAAAGCCTGGTCATCAAAACTTCTGCAAGCTCCCCCTGCCCGCAGCAGGCACAGCAGTGGGCACCAGGGAGCCACGCTAATGCTACGCCTGGGAAATGCAACCTGGAGCACACTGCAGATAACAAGGAGTTAATGCGAGTTAATGGCTGTGGCAGCTTCTACAGCTAAAAATAGCAAGCCTGGCTCCAAATGTGCCAAAGGAATAGGTCTCCTGATGTTTCAAGTCATTTTCAGGGCACAGTCACGCTAAGGATTAGATCTACCCTAGTTACCTACTTCTGAATCTATTTATCTTCCTAGAGTCACTAGGTAAAACTCGTCTGAAAGCCAGGGCGGTGTCAAGGGTCAGGAGCTTTAGCAGAGTTTCCCACCTCCAAGAAGCTGCCTGTTTAAAGGCCTGGGTTTTGGGTGGGCTGCTGCACGTGGGTCTGTGCGCTGCCCGGGCACTTCTCCAGATGAGCTCCTCCGGCTGCAGGGAAGCACCTCGCCAGGGGTTCTCGCAAAGCCCTCACACAGACTTTCTCACGAATCTCATGTTGACAAAGGCAGGAAAAGGAAGCAGGCACGTGCTCCTGCTCCTAGCCTGTTCTGGTGAAGATGCACACAAACAACAGCAAGCATCACCTCATTTTTTTAACCAGGGGAAGTTGTGTAAGAGAAACAGGATCTCTTCTGTTTGCAACGTTTCTACCTTTCTGAGGATTTCAGCAATCCTTATCCTACTGAAGCTTAGTGTGCCACATCTTCCAGATCATCTTGTTTGCCTTCTGTCCAGACCAGAAGACCCAAGCCTCAAGCATTACAATCTCTGCTCCAAGGTGCATCTAAAGCTGTGCTGTACAGGAAATGCATGCACAAGTACACGCTGCAAGCTAAGAGGAGGGCTGTCAGACTGCTGGATCCAGAACAGCTAAGGATTGGATATTTTTTGGCTCTTGCTGCCCATATCTCATCCCCTTGGCACCCATCTGGCAAGCAAAGGTATTTAGTCCATGTGGTGCCAGCTGCCTTACCTGTTGTTGAGCTTGCTGCTCCTCAATGAAGTGTGAATTCGCTAACTGCAGCTCCCGGTCCAGACGGCTGTATTTGTCAGGTCCAGAGCTCCAACTCTGACTTCCACTTTCTCCCAGGAGCACCTAAACAGATGCAGAGAGCTGTCAGCAATACCCTTACGTGTGCTCACAGCCTGTCTACAGGGTGCAGTGGGAAGGCAGATGAGGCAATACTCCTGTACACACTTTCACAGCATCCTTTTCCTCCCGCTCTATTGTTCCTCAGCCTGAGTGCTGTCACGAACAAAACAATGCAATGCCAAAATGCCAGCTTGGTATTTCAGATATACCTCTGGAGTACGGCTGACAGACGGTGTAACCAGAAGGTCTGCATGGCATAAAAGACTAGCAAAGATCTGCTCAAGAGTGCTAGGACACATAAGCTGGGAAGTATCCGGATACACTCTGTTAACAGATGTATAGCTCGAACTGAACACTGTGCTGCTAATGACAGGGGCTTAAGAGGGTCTGGATAAAGTACTTAACCAGTTGAGCCGACAGTAAAACAGTGCAATTTATCACCACAGCAGTGTTGTATGCTCATGTTGATTCAGACTACCTGTTCCTCTGGTGTACTGCTCAGTTGCCAGCACACAAGATTACACTTGCTACCTGCTCTGCAACCCAGGGAGAGAAGCTGGTGCAAAGCCAGTGGAGACATGGTTTTCCAGCTGAGTAAGTCTGGTCCCTGGAAGGGGTGTAACATAAGCACCAGACGCTAGAGCATGAGCATGGCCTGCAGGTGAGGAGCTGCACCCTGTGGTGCCATGAATGGGTTAGGGAGCTCTGCCCACCAGCGAGGAGGCGAGGCTGGCTCCTAATGACACTGCCTCACAGCTTCTGGTTGTGGGCAGGAGGAGACGACCGAGTCTTTGTGAAGAACAGCAAGACAATGACCAGACTGCTCTGGCAGGCTGAAAACAAGGCAGTCTCTACAGTTCATCTGCCTTACAAGGTCTGAGGAGGAGAGAGGAAAGCTGACAGACTGACTGCGCAGGAAGCCAGCAGGACATCTTGCTTTGTCGGCTCCGAGACACTGAGCAAGCTCCTGGTTCTCTCTCCTGTCTGTGGCAAGTGCAACTCCTGTTTATTTAATGCACTGCACTAGTTTTGCTGCTGCTTCAGTAGAAACACCTCTGTCTGCCAGTCTTAGCCTGTGAGAGTCAGGTCATAGAATTATTTGTTTGGAAAACACCTTGGAAATCACAGAGTCCAACCATAACCTGCCCACTACTACTGGTCGCCACTAGCCAGCCTCTCAGACACACAGGCATGCTGAAAAAGCCGCTGCAGCCCAGGCTTTGCAGTCTGGAGGGAAGGCCAGGGGCTGGGGAGGGGAGAGGAAGACGGCAAGGGGAAGTCTGTTTTCCTGACCAGATGTCGAGGCGCGAGCTGGGCCATATGGTCTCCCACAGCTAGCAGGAACTTCACGCAAAGGAAAGCAACAGAACGCAGACTTGTTTGAGCAAGGGTGTAAGGGACCTCGCTTCTTCAAGTGTTTGCCAGGCACGTCAGTTAACTCTTTAATAAGCTCAGGAATCAGCTATGTGCTTCTCCGTAGCTTGTTGCAGTTTGCAGTTTTTGCCACAAGCAGTAAGGCTGATGCAGGCAGATAAGTCACTTGTACGAAGTGCACACTGACTTCTACTGAGGCAGCTCTGGAAGTCAGCTCAGAGATCTTACAGTCTCCTGTCAGTCAGGCAGGAGCACAAGCCACATCTATTTCTATTCCTTAGATTACAAGTGCAGACAACCTGAGACTCCTTGAGCTTCTTCCATCTTCTTACATGGCTAACTAGTATGAGGCAGCTGTGCGAAAGGATATGCAGCATCTTGGCTCCTAAATCCAGCAGAGCACAGGATTACATTCACTGACATGGATTCTGATCTGTTCTCCCCGAGAAGGAGGGAAGATTCCCCTTTCCACAGGATGATGCAACACTGACAGTTGTACACAACCAGATCTGAAGACAGAGACAGATGGCGAGTGCTGACTTACTGCTTTGAGATACAGGCTTGGGAGAGGGTGGCAGCCACGTGTCTGTGAGAACCAGCTCTCTCAGGTCAGCAAAACAGACACAGTTCAAACACACAGCTTTGCTGCAGCATGCAAGCCCCTTCCCAGAACAAAGACTTCTTAGGAGATTAACTACAGACAGGATATATATTGTAATTACAGCTTTTGATCAACGCTATACACTCTGCCTGATGATGTGGGGCCTTGGAGTGGTTGGAAATGGAAGTTTCACCTAAAACATACCGTAAGACAACAGCTGCCACAGCTGATAAATCCTTCTTACTCCTTAAAGTACCAAACAGCCACCACATTCACTTAACTTGACCGTTTGTGGTTCTCACCTGCCTGTTTTTCCTTTCAGCCAGTGCTTGCACAGAGGAGTTTGACATCTGATCCTTCATTTCCTGTTTGTACAAGGAAAGAAGCAGCATGTGAGCATTGGATGTGAGGTGACAGGCAGTTTCAGGGCTGTCTATACCCAGAAAGGCTTCTTTAGGGGGAGTGAGGGGTGATTTTCTTTGAAAATGTTCAGTTTTGAAGAGTCTGAAAGGATGGTGTAGAAAACTTCATTGCAGTTCATCCTTTTATTAACACTAGAATCAATGGCAATGGGACACATTGAAAATATTCCCTATTTACTACTCGTTTTGCTCCACTACAGCCAGAAATCCACTTTGATTTGTATAATATTAAACTAATGTTCCCATTGATAGTCTGTAAGGAAGCATCATGTTCCTCGAGGTCTTGGAAGCCTGTAACCTGCTGCACTTTATTCCCAGTTGCATCTGTTTTTATATTGCAAAGGACAAGATAGATTTCCATCCTGGCCATCCTCTCCAACTGTCCTTACATTTTCTCTTTTATCAATTAAGTTTTCCTGCTGGGTTGCTGTAGAAGATGGCCAGCCACAGAACGCTCCTGATCACAATGTAGTCTAGTGTTTATAGGGTGCATTAGCAAGTGGTCAGTATGATCCAGCAGAAATTGATCCACCAGCATGGTTCTGATGTCACCAGAACATTTAGGTATGTTTTATTCTTCAGAAACACATCAGCTAAAAGCATCAAATCCCACTCAGTTAATGCACTTGCTGCTGTGCATCACAAATTCCCTCATGGAAACTGGAATTCAGCTGCACAACGCCACTAACAAATTTCATTTAACAGTAAGAGACACTGCTCCAAAACCCATTAGCCAGCAGTTTTCAGCCAGGAAAAGAGGACCACAGAGTGGACTTGCCTGATCATGCCCGTTTGGGAGTGGACGACACCAAGGGCAAGGCAGCAAGCACATGCCTGCTACCTGGGCCCAGCGTGGTTTTGGGATCAGTTCGCAGGTGGCAAGCCTTAGGACTGCATCCAGACCGCAGGACTGCAGGTAGGGTAACGAGCTTGCTGCCAGCCACAGCAATGCATTTCATGAAGCAAGAACATCAGAGTCATGAGGGGCAACAGAAACTAAGGTATGCTTGATGTAGCTACTAATAGGGAGAAAACTTCCTAATTAGCAGGTTGTTACCAGGCAGTGAAGCTTTTGGGAAGATGTTTCTTCTCTATTTATTACTACCAAATTGCTAAAATCCTCCTTTTGCTTCTGAAATGTGGGCTTAAACTAAAAAAACCAACCCTTCCCCAAGTTAAAAATAAATCCAGTGGTTGTTTGGACTGTTTCGTAGCAGTAGGAAGTTGAAGTCACCGTGTCCGTAACTCTAGGCTTTAACCATCTGTCAGTGTTCAAAGTGGACTCTATTTTTGAAAACCAGTGCTACAAGAGCACAGGACAGTTGTGATTTCCTCCCACTCTGAAGGGAGACTCCAGCCTCCCCTGCATCGCAGCGGGGTCTTTACTCTTCCTTCCCAGTTTCTACAGGTTCCCAGGCTCGTTGTTGCATGAGAAGTGTGAAGACCCAAAGGGGCAGCAGCAGAAAAGCAGCTTATCCCATGGGGCACCTGCACCCTCGCAGTCCCAAACCCATCCCTCGAGAGGGAGCGCACAGGGAAGAGGAGGAAGCCCAAGAGAGCAGGTACAAGTTTCCTTACCCTGACCACCTGCCGCGTGCTCGTGATGAAGGCTTTCCTGATACCCAGCTCCGTCGCATCGAGGTTGAATTTCCGTGGGTTTGCCTCAACAATGCGTAGGCAGCGAGTCAAGGAGGCAGCAGTGGACACACACCCCCCGAGTGTGCTGCAGCGGGGGTCTAACGAGCGGCACGTTGCCGTCGCACTGCACCTTTTCCCAAAATTTGATTAGCAAAGCACAAAACAGCAGAGGAGAAAACAGGGATGGCAGGAGCATGCTGTGCAGAACACGCAACAGTGCGAGGATTCTCTCTGGTGGGTTTTTTTTGTTCTCTGATGCTGCACAGCGCTTTCAGGAGTGCTCAGATGAACACAAGGGAAAAGGAGTATTTCTGGAAGCCAGCCTAGAACATGACTGGCTATGCAGAAATCCAAATTCATACAACATAGCAGGCTTTGTAGAACTAAGCATCTTAGAATATACCTTGTCAAAAGGAAAACTAGGAAAATCCTTTTGCTGAATACATTTGCCTTAATTTCTCACTTGCAGTTTGAGAAAACCTGATGTAAACGTAAAATTCAATCCCAAATAGTACAACTCGGGGAACCCATGCCCCTGACTCCAAAAGACCACAGAAAGGATATTAATTGTTTCATCCAAGTCCTCCAGGTCCCACTCGATGCTCCGCAGGTTGTTCCTGAGCTCATTAGTGGTCCAGTCGATTTCCTCTCTCGTGGCGATGGAGGGATCCTGCAAGAGCTCCGTCCACCTCTGGAAGAGCCCCTGGGCCGTGTTCACGGCTTTCTGCACCTCCCTGCAGCCACGGTGATTAAAAAGAAGCAGCAGGATTATTCACAGAATCACAGAGCGTTAGGGATTGGAAGGGACCTCCAAAGCTCATCCAGTCCAATCCCCCTGCCGGAGCAGGAACACCCAGATGAGGTTACACAGGAAGGCATCCAGGCGGGTTTTGAATGTCTGCAGAGAAGGAGACTCCACCACCTCTCTGGGCAGCCTGGGCCAGTGCTCTGTCACCCTCACTGAGAAGAAGTTTCTTCTCCAATTTCAGTGGAACCTCCTGTGTTTCAGTTTGTGTCCATTACCCCTTGTCCTATCATTGTTTGTCACCGAGAAGAGCCTGGCTCCATCCTCGTGACACTCACTCTTCATATATTTATAAACATGAATGAGGTCTCCCCTCAGTCTCCTCTTATTGTCAGTCGCTCTGCAGCAGTCACACTGGGACAGCCCCGCATCCAGCCGAGCAGGGAAGCACAGCTTTCTCCTAACAATCTTTCCTTCAATTTTCAGTTTATTCTGTTCGATAAGGATTTGCCCGACCTGCTGGATGATCCAGTCTCTTGTTGCAGCACAAAGTGCTGAGCAACAGCTTACAGGTTAGATGTTAACAAAGGGACCTCTTTCTCTAGGGGAGGTTTCTGTCGAATGTGACACAGGCAAGCCAGGGCAAAGCATCGGAACAAGGCTGCTCTCTGGCAATTAATGCTCCACATTCCTCTCAACAGCCTTCCTCTAAAGACTCTTGACTACCCAGGTAAGATACCCCAAGGGCACACAGAATTACAGGAACTGTCCCCACAGTACAGCCAGGCAGACTGTTGAGTACAGCACTGTTTATTTTAATTTAGCCTTAAAAAAATACACAGCTCTACTATGCTGGCTTAGGGAACAGAAATCTTTTCTGCTGCTCTAAGCTTTTTGGAGACGAGTGCATTCACAGCATGGGGAAGGCAGCTTTGCTGACAGCACCGAATGCTGCTTTGATGGCTTGGAGCAAGCAGTGTGGCTATCTGTACCTACAAACTTCGTGGGCCAGAGCCAGGAACTGTTCCCCAGGTTCACCAGGAGCCAGGACAAGGGACGCACATGAGAACAGACTTTGCTGGTGTGAAAAGAGCCACCACGAGCCCCAGAGCTTGCACACAGCACCCATGTAAGATGCAGGTGTTCATTCCCAGGTTATCAGCGGGGGAAGCCCAGGACTGATGAACTGAGCCTGCACCCTGCAGTGGTGCCAAGACTGCAGCTCTCTTCACGTTACACCATGGCCTGGAAGTACTCAACTTTGCTGTGTAAGCTGCAGTCTCTCGGCACCCTGATGTGTATCCTTCCTCTTATACACCTACAGCTCCGAGCCTGCCACATCTAATGCCCTAAAGTCAGCAGCCCGCGCTGAGGATCTGGCAAGCTTTGTTCCCTCCACCACTTGCTAGCAGATGTTTTGGGGTTTTCTCCATCTAGGCATACTCGGGGAAGCACCCACAAACAGGAATTTAAAGCAGAGTTACAAGCACCAGGAAAGCAAACTAAATGCAATGCTGGTGGCTCCACTATCCCCACCAGCTCCTTCTGAACGTGCTGGGTAATTATTAACACTGGGAGCGGCAGCACGGCCCCTCTCCACTCCCAGCCCTTCCCCGCATGGCACTAGAACCTCTCTGGAAAGTTGATGGGATATCTGCTCCCTACCCACAGCGACTCCTATTTTTTCCCCTTAGCACCAGCTGAACCTGGCAGAGCGATTCCCTTCCCCTGTCTGCACCAGCACCTCTTGTGCTCACACGGCTTTCCCCACCACTCTGCTGCTCCTGAGCGTGGTTTCACTGCGATGTGGGGCAGGTAACCAGCTCGCAGCAGAAGCTGAAGCTGGCCCCAGGGTGGTTTTTAGAGATAAGGTGTTTTCACTGTATTAATCACAATTTTCCTTTCCTCCTGCCTCGACCACTTTTAGCTTGTGTTGGCCTTTGTTCAGGCTCTTCTCCGCTTGTTTCCTCTCATGGCCACTGCCCACGCTGCAGTTTCTTCCCCAGCTTGGGCCCTGCTCCTCTCCATCTTTCTCCCTGGACACCACATCCCTGGCACTTTGGGGATGCCACTCACTGCTGCTGCAGAGCGACATTTC